TCTCTCTCTCTCTCTCTCTCTCTCTCTCTCTCTCTCTCTCTCCCTCTCTCTTTCTCTCTCTCCCTCCCTCTCTGTGTCTCTGTCTTTGTGCTTTTATGTGTGCTCAGAAGGCGCAATTCAGAGTGGCCAGGCCAGCTGGTGGGAATGGTGGCTGCTCACCCCATTCTCTCCAACTGACAGGCATTGGTAGCTAAGCTGCCATTTGTCTCCACATCCATTTGCTGGTATCCTGGAGGCTGCTGTGTGGATGGCAGGATGCATCTGGTTGTGCGTGTCTACATGTGCATTTGAAAGTCTCATGTTGGTCGAGGGCTCATCCTCTGGTTTTGACTGGCTGCACTACAAAGTAGCAGAAAATGCATTTGAGCCCCACCCTGACATTCTCTCTGCAGCCCGATGGAATGAGCATGCTCAGCCCACTATGCACCTCCTGCCCCCACAGGGGGCTCTGTCCCCTGAGCAGCACCTCCTCTGCTTCCCTGCCCGCCACTGTCAGGCACAGCCACATTCCTCGACAATCATGTTGGGCACATCTCGCTTGACGATGTTGTACTCATCATCGAAGTAGAGCATGGACATGGAGCTCAGCTTGGTGGGGATGCAACAGGAGTTCACAGGGCCAGGGTTCAGGCCCCGCATGCGGTACTGGTTCACCACCGCTGTATGGAAGGAGGAGGCAGAGCCTGGGACCCCTGCCAGGTAGGCTGGGCAGCTGCCCTCGCAGTAGTTCCCGTAGTAGCCAGTGGGTGCAATGATCCAGTCATTCCAGCCAATGAGCCGGAAGTCGATGAAGAACTGTTGCCTGCAACAGAGGTTGGTCCGGCCATCACACTCCAGGCCCCGCTTGCGAATGCGGTGCCTGCTGTCCCCTAGCCGGGCCTGCACCACCACGAAGGGCCGGTGTGACTCCTCGCCTGGGTCCACAAACACTGGCACCACGGCCAGCTCCTGGCAGCTGTCACACTGCACGTCCAGGTTGAGCCTCCGCTCGCCTCGCTCAAATAGGGCCTGTATGGCCTCTGTGAGTGGGAAGGTGTGCCAGCCACTGCGCTTGAGGTCCACCTTCTTCTCCACCACATTCCACCTGTCACCATGGCCCTGCTCCTGGAAGTATATTTTGACTCGAACCTTCCGCCGGCTGCCCTTCTCCAGGACATACGGCAGGAGCTTCAGGTAAAGCCACAGGCTGGCCTGCACCACAAACAGGTTCTGATTGCCTTCATTGGAGATGAAGAAGTACAGGCGGACCCGAGAGGAGGCCAAGCCATCTGCAGGGAAGGGGGAGAACAGGCCAAGTTAACTTCAGGAGAACATGAGGCAACAGGGAAATGCACTCCGCTGCCTGGTGCTGAACACACACTCACCACGCAGCTGGAATATGTTACTGACCAGAAATACCATTCCTGGCGCCCAGACCTCTGCCTGTAACCTGGGAGAGGCAGAAAACATCATTTCCCATTGAGAAACCCAGACCGGGTTGGAGCTTAAGAGCCTGGGCCTCCAAAACCCTGCCTCACCTCTCCCCCTTACAGGGCTCCCTAGAGACTGGCTGTTGGGCCTCAAAGCTCAACAGAAGAACTTGTCAGAAGACCAAGACCTTAACAAGTTGTTATGGGTATCTGTGAAATCTGGAAAACCAGGATGGCAGAGAAGATTTGGGGGTGGATTGTTTTAAGCAGGTCCTATTTTTTGGTGAACTTAGGGCATTGCAAAATCAAGCTGAGCCACCTACCGCCTCTTTCCAGTGTTTACCTAAGCATGATGTGATCCAACCCCCAGCGGAACCTCTACTGCAAACAAGCAAGCTCTGCTCAGATTTCTGACATAGGAACGTCTGCTTTGCAGGCTGCAAAGTGCACCCCTTGTTTCTGAGGAGTTTCAAGGTATAGGGCATTCACCCTTGAAACTTGAGGTCCAATTCTTTGACAAGACCCTGGCTCCCTGTTCATGGCATGTTCAAAATCTCCAAGGAAAAAGGGGTAGCCCATCCTACATTTCCGTGACCCTTCCCTCTGGCAATCTCTACTTTTTTCTTTTCTTTTTTTCCAGGAGTAAGGTAACTCTGGACACGGCTGGTTTTATCAAATTGTCCACTATGGCTGCCCTGGCCCCTCCTCAGGCTTTCCCTCGCTCCTCTAATAACACTGACATCTGACTTCAAAATGGGGGAAACTGCAGCCTTAAAAGCTGGTCTTGGACAAGCTGCCTGTGACCTGAATCTGTTATTTATAAGTCAAAGAGCTGGCTCCATGAAACGGACCAGAAATATAACGGCCCCCGCTGTCATTTTGTGCCACCAGGACCAAAAGGCCTCCTCGTCCTTCCCAAATCACATTTCTACCCTGGGCCCAAAGGCACCTTTTAATCCAAGCCCTCTAATTGCATGTTGAGCTTTCCCTGACTCAGGCAGACAGCTAAAATGGCAATGCATTTCTTTCTAAGCACAAACTAACCCTGATTGTCTCTGCTTTTCTCCACACCCGGCCATGCAAAACTTTTCATCCCTTTTCATCCCCAGGAGCCACCAGAAAGGTCTTCCTGCTGCCTCGAGAGGGGGGATTTGCAGCCAGGGCCACAACCAATCCCCCCTCCTCTCTCAGACTCCCTGCCTGCCCCCCTCCACTGCACCAGGGAGTCCCCCTCTCCTGCGACCTTCTCTGCAGTCCCCTCTGCACAAATGCAGCTGAGCTCCAGGCACAAAAGCCAGCCTGGCTCATTCATGTCCTGAAAAGGACAGCAGAGTCAAAAGCACTTGCAGCATTTCAGCACCGGGCACGTTTTCCTCCCTGTTTTAAACTTCTCAAAGATTTTTCTCTTTCTGAATTTTACATTTCAACAGAGGTAGGGAGTTGCAATCTGGGGCCAGGGTAAAATTCCAGAAGAGCCCTACCCTTTGTTAACTACCAACTCTGCGGCTCTCTGACCAGAAGGCTGTCGCGGTTGCCAAACAAGAGGAAAACCACGGGGATGTCCCCAAAGTCGTGTCTTTCTCTGCTTAAATGATAGACCTGTTGAGAAGCCTGCTTTTTCTTCAGCCTGATTCTGGAAGAGAGGTTGCCTAGCTCTCCCCGCAGAGGCTTCAGCAATCCTGGCAAGCCCACGCCACCCGGCAATGGAAGCAGCCCGAGGGCCTCTCTCTCTCTCTCTCTCTCTCTCTCTCTCTCTCTCTCTCTCTCTCTCTCTCTCTCT